CTTCACCAGCAAGAACTCACACCCGACAAGCTCCGGAGCAGGGATCCTACGAGGAGCTAAGGACTGTTGGATAACAATGGCCACTCCCCCGCCCCTTCTTTGAGGTCGCGGTTGATGAAGCACCTGAAAACCCTCTGGGCATATTTCTGTGAGGGGGACGCCTCCCACCGGGCCCAGCCAGGTTTCAGTAATACATGCCAGGTCTGCCCCCTCGTCTGTAATTAGGTCCTGGACAAGGGGAGTAGTAGTAGTATTTGCCTACATACTTCTCTTCAGTGATACAAAATATAGTGGTATCTCAATACTCACTGTTAATTGGTTCTTGGAAGCTCAATGAGTCTTAAAAATGATGAGTGCCAAATAAATCACATTATCTTTTGTGTTGGCTGGGAAGGACTTCCTATCTGTTCCTTTTCCTATGTCAGCGGCCTTCCCAGCATAGCCAACTTCCTGTCCATGCTCCACAGCAATCCCTCTTTTTCTATCTCAGAGTACCAGTACTGGGACAACATTTGGCATTTTCATGCCAAAACAACTAGACACAAATATAGTTTTCCCCCATGCCATCACTGCCAAACATCTAATTCTCACAGCACTGTCTAAAGATATTTCCCATGTATTGCTGTATTGCTATTATCCTTCTTATCTTACATCTACCATCTATTGCTATCTTATGATTTATCACTTGTTCGTATCTCATGATTTATGACTATCTTTATGATATATGACTTACCGCTTTGTTGTTTATATATACACTGAGAGCTTATACACCGGACATATTCTTTGTGTATCCAATCACACTTGGCCAATAAAGAACCGGTTCTGTTCTGTTCCGTTCCATTCCATTATATTATATTTTGGGGTCAAAATGCATTGAGTACCAAATTCAGTGTTTTGAAGCAGTCAGTACAATGATTATTATACATAACTCCATCTATTTGGTAGTAGCATTTTGGCCTATATATTAAGCTATCTAAAATATACCTGATTCATTTTGTGATGTTGGGACTATAACTCCTAAATCCTGATACTTCTGAATTACACCAATTGAAAAATGTTGATCTAGAGCAGGGGCCAGCAGGCTGCATGCATCACATGCTGGCCATGCCCACCCCATTTTAGTGAAGAGGGGAAAAGTTGTGATATGTCACGTGACCACAACGTGACGACACGAGTTTCACATTCTTGATCTAGTTTTACAGCCCTGGTATTCCCTTCAAGTATTTATGATGTACAATCCTTATTTTCTGAACAATCAAACAACTACTGCAAAGTTCAAGATTGGCTATTTCAGGAGCTTCTTTGGAGATGTTTTAGTCTGTAATACTCTGATGCTGGAGAACAGTCTAAAGATAAATTAAAACAAGTCCAAGATCTTGGTGATTACAGCAATAGCACTTAGATTATATATTGCTTCACAATGCTTTCCAGCCGTGTCTAAGTGGTTTACAGAGTCAACATAATGCCCCCAACAATCTGGGTTCTCATTTTACTAACCTCGGAAAGGTGGAAGGATGAGTTAACCTTGAGTTGCTGAGAATCAAACTGCCAAACTGCTGGCAGTCAGCAATCAGCAGAATTTGGCTGCAATACTACATTCTAACCACTACACCACCAAGGCTCTTATATGTGGTCAACTATCTTCTGGATGAAACTGAACTTTCCCATAAGAAACCTATTTTCATCTGGGAACCCTACAAGGGAGATTTTGATTAGTTTTGTCTAATAATCAATTGCATCCCTTTCTGGGGAAGATTGATATGATGTGAGTGACACATCCTGGGTAACATCAAGTATGGCTTTCTACAATTGCATCTCTACATAGGGTCGAACTTGAAAATAATGTAGAATTTGGAATTGGCCCAGAATGTGGTAATATGAGTGATAAAAGTCCACAATTTATCAGTATTGAAACAGTTATATAGATATTTTGCAAGACTGATTCAGGTAATTCTCTTAATTTTTTTAGCAAAATTCAACTTACAGTTTTCTCTTACAAGAAGAGCACTAGAGAGTTATCAAGAGAAGAGAAAAAAGGATAAAAAACTGTAAGGAATTGTTTTTATGCCATGTGATACTTTAGTGGTAGGCCTTGTTCTTAACGTGTTAAACTACTGGATTTAGATGTGTACTTGAATGATGCCTGCAGTATATCAGATATGTGATCAAAGGTGTAGAGAAAAGCACCAACTAAGTCTTCCATTTTTCTGTGTGGCAATTTCAGGCATAGCCCTCTTGTATCTTCAGCTATATCGTGTGACAAAGGAGCCAATTCACCTACAGAGATCCCTGGATTATGTGAAGAGAATCCTACGTAATCTGAATGGAAGAAGAGTTACATTTCTTTGTGGTGATGCTGGACCTTTGGCAGTGGGAGCAGTTGTGTACCACAAGATGAAAAATGATAGTGAATCCAAGGAATGTGTGACCAAGTGAGTGAGTGAAATTGACTAGGACAAAAAGACTAGATCAACGGTATTCCTTGGTAAAAGACTGCCTTTTGGATTGTTTCGGTCAGATGATTACTGGCAAACAGTCCCAGTAATCTCCCAGTAATCCCCCTGTCAATGATGATAGAACATTTTTGTCCTCATGTTGTCCTTTTTTCAATGCTAAATAATGACCTATTTTAATTTTGTGTGTCACTCTTAATTTTTTTATTATAATTTTTAAAAATATTCTGGAAAGTAATATTCTAATCTTGAGGCTTTTGGAAAGTCTTCCTGTCATTCAGCTACTTTGAAATTGACAACAGTCATGATTGAAGAGTCATAAAGACCAAATGTTTGATGTTTGCATTCTTTATGTTATTTCTTGCCTCTACATTGGATAGTTGATTGGCTCATAGGGATTCCACTCTTCTATTGATGTTTATATTTAGAATTTTAATCAGTTGCCTGCTAATCCATGCCTGGTGGAAGGTTAATCTCTGCCATACTTTTACAAATAATATCTCTCTGTCACATGGAACTTCTCCATGTCCCAATAATAAGGGGAGTTTTGTGTAACATAAACAAAGAGTGATAAAGATGAGATTATAATCATGCTTCATCAAAAATAAATGAGATTGGAATCTGTAGAATTGCCTTCCAAAATATCTGGCTGTCAGGGGCATTTATGACGGAGCTTTTAACAACTCCAGAAGCTCCTCCCACTTTCACATGTATTGCATTATCTTTGACATTTTAGGAGGACCTATATCCTACATAATCTGAATAGAAATCAAATGAAGATTTGCAAGAACCCACCCCATAATCACATCTGAGATTTAATGTAAGAATGAGAGTTCCATTGCATGTTTTCTCAATTCTGGTTTGCACAGACTTTTGCAGCTACAGAGAATAGTCCTTGCTTCAGATTCTGACCTTCCAGATGAGTTGCTTTATGGAAGATCTGGTTACCTGTATGCTTTGCTTTATCTGAATACTGAAATTGATCCTGAGACAGTGCCACAATCAGTAATCAAAGAGGTAAGGGAAATACAATAAAACCTTCATTGTGTAGACTATTCAACTGTCTTTGTATGTAGGATTTGTCATCTTTGTATGTGGGATTTCATTTTCCAAAGAATAAAAAACCACTTTTCCTAAAACCTGATGTCATTTGCATAATCACACAATTGACATTTGTATTAATTTACATCATTTGCCTAATTGCATAATTCAATTTTAATATTGTAGACACTCAAATGTAAAGAATACCAATTTCCCTCAAATGGACTCTTAAATTGAATTGTATACTTTTTGTATACTTTTTCTTTCTTTCACTGATATTCCAGAGTTCAACTTGAATTATCTGCTTTGGAAAGGAGGCTATTTCTAGATGTTCATAGTGCTTAGTTCTTGCAATTGCTATCTTCTTTTTTGTATATCCCACCTCAGCCGTTTCATTGTGCTGAACTATGCCATACTCATCCATATCTTTCTTTGCCTTTTCCCAAATGTTTTATTTTAAAACCCCAGCCCAGAAGCAATCAGGAGGGGAGTTGTTTTTCATTTTTTAGGTTTACCTAAGACACTAAATCTCTCATAGCCATCCACTTTGGATTGATTTTTTTTTTACTTTAAAGTATCTATTTTGCCTCTAAATGTTTGGAATTTCCAAACGTCTAAAGCAATGCCCACATGATATTGCTGTACATGCCTGTGTACTCCCAAAGAAGGCAGAAGAAAGAGACAGATATAGTCCCTGGGGTCATGACTTTCCTCTTGCTCTGTTCTATTTTATAACCCACTTTACCTTCTTTCATCTTCTTTGGTACAATGGGTGTCTGGTTTTCTGTTGCAGTGTATTTTGGGCGTGCACAGTATCAAAGGACATAATGTGGTTCATGAAAACATCCACATTGCCTTTTGAAACCTGGAAATACTCCCTATTAAGTAATGGTGAAGTTAAAACAATAACTTGATATCAACATTCAAGAGCAGGAAAGAAGAATGCTTAGTTTTCAGAAAATTATAGAATATAAACCAAAAGGTCCCGGGGTAGGGGGTGTCTTAACCAAAGATGAATAAGTCTTGTTTTCCAGCATCTAGCCTTGTTGAAAACTTATAAAAACTAGTAATAACAAGATAAATCATTCAGGGGTTCTGAAATAGTCTAGAAATGAAGGAAATTAGTGATAGCAAGAGTGCTGTCCCAATAGGTAATGTATCATTATTCCAACAAACGTAGATATTTTAGTATCCCCTCTAGCTTGCTAATAAAAGTGATTTTGTGGGTGATAAAATATTGCATTATATAGAAAAAATGACATGATAGCTTAGGAAATCTTAGGTGCTATCTCAGAGTAGAATTGATTCCTTTGTATCCAAGGAGCCTCTTAGAAAAGACAAGCACTGCAGGAATATATTTGCATTGCTTAGGGGAAATAATAATTAAATTAAAAGATGTACTATTAGATTGGTATTTTTCCTCCTCTGTCTGCATAAGGTTGTGGAATCCATCATTGAATCAGGGGAAAACTTTTCCAGAGAAGAACGAAAGACTGAGCGGTGCCCATTGCTGTACCAGTGGCACCGGAAACAGTATGTGGGTGCAGCCCATGGTGTGGCTGGGATTTACTACATGCTTATGCAGGTGATGTTCCATGTTTGAATAGAAGAGAATACCTGTAGCTCAGAACAGTTGAGTGCTTGGGGTTCTTTGAGCATGGTTGTTTGCTCGCAGTTTAGATATTTCATTACCCAACTACGTAACATCATCAATGCTTTTCTTCTTGGTTGTTCCTTGATTAGCATATTGTTTTTCTGTGTGATTTTTTTGTCTGGTGTTAATCCAAAATTGGAGGACCGTCCAGACCATCTTAAGTAAACCAAAAGTCCTAACAGTAGAAGAAAAGAAAAAACCCACAAGAATTATCTATAAAATAAATAAAATATAGAATAAGGACTGTAACAAGCACTATGTATGGCAGCCAAGCAGAAGACTAGCAGAGCACATTCATGAACACCAAGTAGCAGTTAGAAGACAAGAAAAGTACTTAATCTCACAACACATAGACAGACTCAAATCACAATTTCAACTGGGTCACTGTGAGTATCAAAGACCAAACTAAATCCAAGAATAGTAGAGAATTCCTGAAGCATGGCAATTAGACAAATCAGCTATCAATGAATGTAGAGATAAGCTACATTTACACATCATTCAAAAGAGCCAATAAAATGCTAAGAAGAAAACAGAAAAATACAATATCCTTTGCAGCAATCTACACCAAATAATGGCCGATTAATGCCAGACCAATAATCAAGCAGAGAACAATAGCCTATCACAAAATTACCAACACTGGCAGAATAAGCTACTGAGGGAGTAAATGTTATACTCACTAGCACAAATGATGCTACCTAGTTGAATGAAAGTTCTTAAGCAAACCAACCTCAGCACCAAGGATTTCAGGATGTTCCAACTGTTCCATGTATTTGTTTTTTGTTCATCTAATTCTATAAAGGTCACTTTTTGTCTGCAGCTGTCTGCTTTTCAGACTATACTAAAAGGAATTCTTTAATTCCACCTTGAAATATTGTTCCACTGCAGGAACGTGCAGTCAGGTGAGGCAGGGGAGGCACAGCCTCACCACTGTCATCATGAAAAGAAAAAAATGTAAAAGGAAAAAGGCAAGAGCTGAGGTTAGGCTGAGCTAGTTGCTGCTTCACTGTGAATGAGGCTGCTTAACTGTTTAAAAAAGCCTCTAAAAAGAGCCCTCTATCATGAGGCAGGAAAACTGCATGCCTCATGTAGTCTGACCTTTTAGGCATTTTATGATCGCTGGAGCAGAGTTAAGCAAGGGTTAAAAGCCTAAAAAGTCCAGAGGTAGGTGAGGCACACAGTTCTCCTGCCTCATAGTAGAGAGCGCTCGTTTGGGTGGGGCTTCTTCAGAGGACACGAGGAAAGAGCACAGTTGAAGTCCTCTGAAACAGCTGGAAAAAGTATGTGTGGGTCGGAGGGAAGGAATTCAAACTTCATCCTCCTGATGCTGTGCGGGGCTTTGGGCAAAGGCTGAAGGGAAGGACCTTGGCTTGCTTTTGCTCTCCCTCCCCAAGTGTAGTTTGATTGCAGGCAGAGCCACGTTGCCTTTTCAAACCTGTAATCAGTGAAGCTGGGCTGGATCCTTCCGGGGCTGGGGGAAAGTGTGTGTGCTCCAGCATGGCTCTTTGCATGGTTTCCTGCCTCCTCCTGTGGTCTCCTTGCTGGTGCTCTCTCTCTCCAAGTGTAGTGACTTCCTCCTCAGGCCCCAATCCATTTATACACACACACACACACACACACACACACACACACACACACACCCCTGGATAAAACTATATAAGCCCAGCTTCACTGATTACAAGTTTGAAAAGGCAATGTGGCTCTGCCTGCAATCAAACTACACTTGAGGACGGAGAGCACAAGTGAACACTGAGGAGACCATAGGAGGAGGCAGGAAGCCAGGCAAAGAACCATGCTGGAGCACACACACTTTCCCCCAGACCCTTTCTTTCAGAAGGTTCAGATCTGCTCCCCTCCAGCTTCTCTGCCTCTTCTCTCACCCCAGCCTGCAAGCAGGAGGTGAGTGTGTGGGTGTTATTGCGTTTCAGGCATTTCCCACCCAGACAGCAGGCTGCATTTGCAATGGTGGAGGTGTTTGGGGAAGGCAGCAGGGGAATGGGGGAGGGGGGATGGCAGAGGAGCTGCTTTTAAGCCATTGGAAAATATATCCAATCCAACTTCTGTTTTTGTGTTTGTTTGAGAAAGAATGAGTGAGAGAGGGAAGGAGGTAGGAGAGATAGTCCAATCCAACTTCTCTTTTTGTGTGTCTGTGTGTCTGTTTGAGAGGGGGGGGGAGAGAAGGAGGGAGGAAGGAGGGGGAGGGAGAAGAAAAAGAAAGAAGGAAACTTCTTTCACAAAGGAGAAAAAACAAATGCTATCGCTTTAAATCAGAACTGAGCATGCCTGGCTGTGGAATTCTGGAAGTTGAAGTACACAAGTCTAAAAAAATTTGAAACCTACCACTATGTCAGTGCCTCACCAGCCATAAACCTCACCGCACGTCACTGCTCTACTGGGAGAGTACAGAGCTTTTATTGGGGAATCCTTGTTTGGGAAGGGAAGCTATTCAATAGTGACTGGCAGTTTCTCAACATTGTGGAAAAAGCCATTTATTCCTGTTCAGAACCATTATAAACAGTGAGCAAGATGATTACTTAATTTTGGAGGACAGCTCAGGCTTGGCCCTGAGTTCTAGAATGAACACTGCCTCTCCAATACTCTGATCCTGCACTCAAGACACTTTTGCTATTTCTATTAATCTATTTCTTGATGAGGCCAAGAGTTTAAAGTAGCTCTAAAACAATACAAAGAGAAGCCCTGGCTGAAATGAAATATTTGCCATCAATTGCCTCCATAGAGCAAAGTCGTTCTTGAACTGCTGCTTTTGCATTTTGCCATTGGCCAAGTATTGATATAAGCTGGGCTGTTAAGAAAAGGGAAAAGGTGTCCACATTGGCTCCAGACAGTGGGGTGGAAACAAAGGATGAACACATTGTGGTTGGATCCCAAATGTACATCTGTGAAGGTAATCCACATTATGAGATATAAAAGCTTAAGATATTATAGAAAGAGGAGGAAGCGATGACTTCGTCGTATAAGTAGTAGCATATATGCAAACCCAGAATCCTAATTTGTGGCTTCCAAATGAAGTCCTGTTCATGCACATCTTGATTATGTATTGTGGCCCTTGAATACAGATTTCAAAGATTTATAGAGCTATTTCACAGCAAATATATATTGTTGCATATGGAATTTGTGCATAGTAACCTTGCTATCCTAGTTTAATGTGCAAGCCAAAATCATTTGTCTTCAAGTATTTTACTATTGCAAAATATGGAAACACCAAATATGTAGGAAAGCTAATATCTCTCTTGGTATATATGAACAAGTTATTATTCTACTTTTCACAGAAAGCTAAGTGAATTGTATTGTTAATATTGTTAAAATTCTTGTAATACACAAAGCAATACATAGTGAGCAAAGGGAAATTTAGATAAATTAGGGCATTTGTTTTCCAAATCTTCATCATGGATATAGGTTCATCAAATTGTGTGATCAAAAGATTTCATTTTTATGACAATGTATTCTTTACTGGGTGAAAAAAAAAATCTTACTTACTTTTGCAGCCAGCAGCTAATGTTGAACGGGAGACATTGATGGAACTTTTGAAACCAAGCATTGACTATGTGCGGCATAAAAAATTCCGATCTGGGAATTATCCCTCATCCTTAAGCAATGAAACTGACAGGTTGGTGCATTGGTGTCATGGGGCACCTGGAGCCATCCATATGCTCATGCAAGCTTATAAGGTGCGTCCTTATTTGAGCCACACAATGATAGTAAAAAATATGTGCTTTGAAATGAAAAGTAATTTTTCAGACTTTTAATATTAGCCTATGTAGCACATACTATCCATTCTTCCAACACTTTGCAGTGTTTTGTTTTATATTTTATAAAATGTAATGCAGTTTTTATTCCTCTGTGGGTTAATCAGGTTAATCTTAAAACTGAATTAAGTTACAATGCTTGTTTCCCCATAGTTGAGACAAACTCTGTTTTAAATGAAGTTTAAGCAAAGCTGCATTCTGGCTGTTTCTTTTATTAGTTCTGTAGCTTGTAACATAAAAATGTATATTGAATATTATAAATTGAAGCTATATCTTGTTTTGAGAAGCTTTCAGTTTGGATTTAGACAGTGGGGTGAGACAGAAGACAACAGATAAATTACATTAGACCTTTGAAGTCTTTAGCTAAAAATTCGCCTCATCAAAGAAGTTAGTTTTTAGAAGTTTTGTCAGCCTCAATACTTTCATGTGCTCAGGTAGCTATGGGAGTAATGGTACTGAATAGGGCTTTTGCAAGCAGTTTGAAACACCTGGATGACAGTTCATGTAGATGAGCAATTCTGCAGAGATATGTAAATGTAGATACTCTTTTCACAAAGAATACTCTTTCCTACATAAAAGAATATTCCCCTGCCCAGTTCCATGCCAAAGCATATTTCATCCCTCCACAGAGAGAGTGCAAATAGTCTCTGGAGATTTATTTGCACAAGTAGCTTGATTTACAGCTAGTAAACATTCCAAGCTAAGATAGACCCCCCCACAAGTTGCTTGTAACCCAGAATCAAAGTTCTAGTGACCACCTCCCTCCCAGTACTTAGGTGACATTTTAGGCACTCAGCAGTGCCTCACATTTATCTCTGTTTGCAGCATCCTGTGGGCACATAATTACAATTAGTGATGTTTTTTGCCAGAAAGCAATGTTTACTGCCAGCTTTTAGCAAAAAAAAAAAAAAAAAGCCCCATAGAAAACAATGTGTTTTTCCTAACAACCATACACTTAATGACAATTGCAAAATCAGACATGATCATGTAGTGACTCGTTTAAAAACCTTAATGACCATAATTGCAGGCTTAATTGCAATTGTAAGTAGAGGACTACCAGTTACAAAACCATTTCCTATCTTGTGCTGAGGTTTAGCAAAGAATGGCATCTGATTTTATGCTTCTTGATATCCACAGATCTTCAAGGAAGATAAATATTTGAAGGATGCTATGGAATGTAGTGATATCATTTGGCAAAGGGGGTTGTTGAGGAAAGGATACGGAATCTGTCATGGAACCGCTGGAAATGGCTACTCTTTCCTGTCTCTCTATCACCTTACTCAAGATAAAAAGTATCTTTACCGAGCTTGCAAGGTACTTTTTTCCTCTTTGTTTAGAGAAACACTAACCCTTTGTTCTTATTGATGTATCCCTGACACATTTCTTTTTTAGTCAAATCAAACAAGAAGAATAAGCTACTCTATATTTCCATAGTCAGAAAACAATTACTGCATAAAAGTACCATTTAGTTTTCTAACAGAAAGGGCTTCATAAATCAAGATTACATTGAACACAGTAATCACAATTTTCTTTTAAGTCTTCCAGTTGTACTAAATGAAGAATTAATTTGATTGCCCTCTACTAAAATTATTGCCACCTAAAGGGATAGTAAGGAAAACAGATGTATTGCCCAGAATCTATATTTATTACTATTGCAGAAACCAACAGACAAATCTGTATTCGGAGGTGCAATGTAGGCTGCTACCAGCCAGCCATGTTCCCTTCCAAAGTGTTCTATTTCATTTCTCAACTGTGCCCATAGTTTTTCCCATTTCCACCCTCTCACCAGCCAAGTATTTAGTCTCTCTTTTCCACCTCAGTTGTCTGTCTACTGAAGATGATAGGCTAGGTAAGCACAGGAATCTATATTTGCAAACTTAAAAGATGCTGCTAATTTGATTGGGTTTGTTTGTTTAAATGCAAAAATCTGTCACAAAATCTATTAGCAATTGTTAATAGAGGCTAGGGAGAATCACAGCTGATTTTCTTCCCAATTAAAAAAAGTTTCAATGAGGAATTCGATTTTTACCTTATTTATTCAGTAATTTTAGTGGAGGTATTTGGAATTAAGGAGCAGGAGTGTGCATGATAATGTTGATAATAATAATACAATTTATTCTTAAAATAAATTTGAATTTAACTAAATGAGGGTCCAAACTAGGGATGGCCCTTATCTTCTGACAGTTCAGCAGTTGAATTTTTGAATTAATGACCTGTAGGTAATTTCTTGCTCACTAGAGCTCATTATATAAACTGCTGATCATTTTCTCTTTAGAATAATAGAGATTAACATCACTATATGGTCTGTAATAAGTGCAGAGTTACATATTTATTTACGTATATTATTTAGCAAGAAACTTACTAATTCTCCTATTTATTGGTCATATTTTCTCAGTTTGCTGAATGGTGTCTAGACTATGGTGCACATGGATGCCGTATTCCTGATCGACCCTACTCATTGTTTGAAGGCAAGAGCTTGTTTTTTGAATTCTATATTCATAAATAATCATAAATTTGCATCCTAGGACTATAAATATAGATTTGGATGTATGTAAATTTCTGATAAACTGAGTGGGCTGCAACCAAAATACTTGTACCTGTCAAGCTCTGAAAGCCTTAAAGCATTGGTTTTATTTTGCAAAATGCATATGAAATGGGATATCAGAATGCTTAAGCCTCCCACCCACTCCTCCCTGAAGTGCTAGGGAAAGGCGGCAGGACACCACATTCACACACCACCCACCCACCCACCCCCAAACTTACTTCGCTGAGTCCCGGCGAAGCGAGAATCCCCCGAGCTTTTCCCGCAGCTTGACTGCGATAAATCGCCCAGGTCTGTTGGAGGAAAAAGTGCTAGAGCTTCAAGTCGGGACGCAGTTCCGTCTTCCTCCCAGGTATTTCCTGCCCTTCCCCCTCTATCGGGAGTGATTGTGACGGGTGTGGAAACGAGTCCCAGCATGTTGGGGGAAAAGGGTTGCACATCAAACCCGGCCCTGACGGCTGCCGCCAAAAGAGCGGAGCAGGAACCTATTTGAAGTTTGAACCTGGAGCACCCAGCCCTTCCTTTCCCTTCCTCGGACGAAAATAAAGGCAAGTCCCGTTGCGCGGCTGTTCAACCAAAAGCAAAAACAACCCGCTGCAGCTCCTGCTCCTGTTTCGGAACTCCAGTTGCTCGGGATGGATGTGGGAAATGGGAAGCCCCGGACTTCGCCTCGCCCACGGGAAAAAGTTAGAAGTGGAGAGAGCAAACTTCACTCCAGACAGCACGTAGCTACTCCTCACAAGAAAGCACCCGGGGAATGATCTGGATGAACAGGGTCTTCAATGCGGTGCAAGCTTTATAAGTCATCTTGTGATTTCAGCAAAGGATTGAAAGGATCGATCTCCCCTAAGGAAGAACTTTGTCCAGGAAAGCAGAACAAAAAAGAAGCGAGAAGAAAAAAGACATAAAGAAAGCAGCAAATAGATTTGCAACCATCCTACTAAAAATCCAGCCAGTGCCTGCCCCGCTGACCCTGGACCCGGCCACCGCTCACCAGCGCCTCTGTCTGGATGCTCCCCCCCCCTCTCTTTCCCTTCCGGGACATCTATTTTTTACTGTTTCTAATTATTTTAATTGCCTGTCTATTCAGGAACGGCATTTTAGCTGGTTTGCTGGGTGTTTGAGTGTAAGAATGTGAGAGAAAATGTGCCCACTTTTAATTTATTCTATTGTATTTTAGTAATTAGTGTGGGGTGTGTCTGAAGAGAGTGTTTGATCAGTAAGTATGGTAGGACCGGGGATGCGACCTGGAGTCCCCTGCACTGAGTGCAGAAGCAGAAGTGGATGGGGGCCCAGACTCACCTCCCGTCCTGGTGTGAATGGAATACATGACCTGCCGGGAAGAAGGGGGGGCATTGGAGAGGGGGAGGGGTCTACGGGGATAGGGGGACGTCGGAGCATTTCGGTCACAACTGGGAGGGGCAGATATGACGGGAGCTGTAGGGCTAGCCATTACCGGGGAAGAAAGACTCGCTACATTACAGCCACTGCTTGTTCCGGCACCTCAGGCTCAACTCAAGGATCTGGTGTCAGAGGAGTACAGGGCCCTGGTCTCATGTTGTTGCTGCTAAATGTCAGGTCGGTTGTG